TTATGGCTATTATTATAATAATAATTATAATACTAATAATTATTATTATTATTATTATTATTACTATTACATTTTTGCTCATGGGAAATTATATTTAGCTTTTTTTAATAGTCTTATTCACACGCCAACAGCTGATACATATGTAATGCAAACGTACATCGGTATTTTCTATAATTTACACGCTATATCGAGCCGAGACGAGCGTTTGCCGTCCTCATGCATGTGGTTTAGCTACTGGTGTTGAGTATGAAATCAGATATTCGATGACAGACGAGCAGTGGCTTTCTGACGCTGCGGAGAAAATGTTATATGCTTTATTTACCAATCGGTTGTTACAATGTTATAGAGACTAATAGCAGTAACGGCCCGTACTTTGTATCACGGGAACATGTCAAAAGGTATCAGTGGCACGCTTTTGCTTATTCCCTTAAGTTCTAGAGATTTTACGTTGTATATTGGACTGCTTACGTAAAACCTAATTTACCATAAATAGTTCAGAGTAAGTACATGTGACTTTTAACTTAAGAGATTATCGTCTACGAAATTAAGTAGAAACAGACAAGTGAGGTAAGACGAGTTGTCGGTGGGCCAATTTTGAGTAACTTGAATTAAAAAAAAAAAAAATCAATGTAAACAAATTTAATAAAACACGCTTACATTATGCAAATGCATTATCATCTATGATAAGAATATTTTTTGAAAAAAATATATTTTTAGCTTATTTAAAAGAGGGTGAAAACACGATTTCAAGATTTCACCTATCCTGCCATGGGTATACAGACTGTGCAAATTAAACAAGTGTAAGAAAAAAATTTGTACAGAATTATGATGAAAATTCTACACTTAAATGTTCTTTCCAAAAATTTTAAGGTCAGAAAATTCAAGGGTCAGAAGTCAAATCCGAAATGCATTTCTGCTAAAGATAAAGAGTAGGTATTGTGAGTCTTTCCCATATCACTTATTAATAAAAACGTCAACTTATGGAGATCATTTTAACGTTTCTCTATAGACTTATGATAACTTATGATTAAATAAAAAAAAGAAAAACACATTCAGTTCATATGTTTATATACACACAAAGGCCTTAATCGTCAACCGCTCAGATGATACGTATTGTGCTCGTTTTTTGGCCTCAATGTGAATTATCAAATAATACAAACTGCAACCGTCTAAAGTTTAATGTACTCTACTAAGATGAAACTAAGTTGCAGCAACATGTTAACCTAAGCTTGAAAAACTCCCTAATCATCCCATACATTACACGTTGTATTATTAGTACAGAAAAATATCGAATTTATAGCGATAAGGCAATCTTGTTCTGAAGTCCCATGCTAAATGTATTTCTGCTCTATTGTACTAAATCATTATCTCTTTCATACAGGAAAAATGTGGAGCTGTAATATATTTTTTATATTTAATAATAATGGCATTATTATATATATTTTTATGTCGTAATTGAAACAATTAAATTACCAAATACATTTTTAATTGAGTTTTAGATAACACCTAATCACCAACTATTTTTTTGAAATTTTAAAAAAATAAAAGAATGTCGATATGATTATTTGTTTTTTCAATTTAAAATGAAGATATCCCTGT